CCACTGTGCATCCCCAACTGAATAAATAAAACAGAAATGAGACGCTCTCCTCTGTTTGTGTGGTATCGACTGAGATTAATCTCCTGCAGTTACATCTGCTGTTCTTCTCCATTTTCTTAATCTTTCACTGTTCTGCCACTTTTTTTGCCCACTATGATCTTAAAGCATTAATAATTATTGTTTTCCAGACTCTGTTTCAGGCTAATCTGTGGCTGCCTCTTATCTTAGCCACTAGCTGTTAGTGTAGTCGTAGCCACTGTGCAAAGAGCTAATGTCCTGGTTTGTGTTTCTTGTTTAGTTTTTGAGAGACATTTCTGAGACCACAGAGTGACGACAGACAGAGAGAGGAGGCTGCATCACACCTGAAGCAGCGCATTTATTGATAATCAACCAAAAAAAGAAACGATAACAATTAAACTATAATGAGAAAAATGCCAAGTATCGGCCGCAGTAATTGGCATGACCGATAATCCTTCTATCACTAGCTTTGATTACCGGTATCCCAATATTCCAAATGTAATATCATCAGGGACGCCCTGGGTAATAAAATGTTCCAAAATAAATCAGAACAAAATTCATCCCTAGGGCCAGAAAAGACATCACATTTAGTGTAGTTTATTATTTGTGTGTGTTTTTTGAAGATTAAATTGTGTAAATCTATTCTAGTAGAGCCCAAAAATGAAGAAGTACATCTGTAAATAGGATTTATACGGGCTCTTTAAGTACAGAGCATCTATTTGACTGGATGAAAGGGAAAAGTAAAGAACGGTTAAACTGAGATCTCCTGACTGAGTTCCAATATGCTAAACAAGAGGTGTGAGATAGCATCTTTCCATTTATTCCTCCCTCTCTGAAAACGCTCTGTTAAACTTAGCACCAGCTTTCTGTTAAACATTTACAAACCAAGATAATACTGACGCCAAGGTTTATTTATATCGAACCGGGAAAAGCTCCTTCCAGAGCCACATAAAACATTGTACAACCGCTGACTTACTGGTTGACTTTCTCCTTTTATCCCGTTTATTTTGCATTTAAGGACAAGTAATGCGGCAGATCTTTTGTTCGTGTGTGCAATGTGCAGCTGTATTACGCAGGAAAATGGAAATATGTGGGAATAAATCCTTTACACAATGTTGTAGTTTACTCACCGTCAGCATGTCTGTGTTGATGTTCGGAGGATCCAACAAACGCGTGACCGACTCCATGAAGACGAAGAAAGCGATGACCATCAGAAACAGGCCGTTGATGAATCCAGACAGTATTTCAACTCGACCGTACCTGCAAAACAACAGTTTCTATTTTTAGACATCCAGCTGAACCTGAAATGAATTATACCATCATTCCTCCTTCTGGATGGATTTTACCCGTAGGAGAAGATCCTAGTGGCTTTCCAGCGGGTCATGAGGGCAGCGAACAGGCCCAGGACCAAAGCAGAGCAGTCGAACAGCATGTGGAAGCCATCAGAGATTAATCCGAGACTGTTGGTCCAAACGCCGTAAAACAGCTCCACAAAGGTGAAAGCCTGAAAAACGCAGAGCAACAAGTCGTAAAAGGATAAAAACAGAACACGTGAGGTCAGAACAAACTTTAAACACCAACCCAAGTCGAGAAAAGATGGCGTTAACATTTAATTAGCATCTGAAATTAAATTATTTTAATTTGTTTCCTGTTATGATAATCTGAATGTGTGTATTTTAACATGAAGGCAGTCTGTGAATGTGAGGTTTGCATTGTGTGTGTGCACGAGTACATTGTGAGATGTATTTAAAGAAAAAGTGGCTGTTGGACGATAAACTGTTATCTCATCTGTGATTTAAATAAATTTTGTGTCTCTAATATATTTACAGAAGCTGTCAAATTTAAATCACGTTAATAAAACAGCAGAAACATCAACTTTTAAAAGCCACCTTGCACAACTTTTGTGCAACTACAGAACACAAAACATTCTTTCTACCCAGAAACAATAAGCAAAGCAAAAACCATCACAGCCTCAGTGGCAGCTATGACCCTCACTGTCAAGATTTCTTATGATTTCATCTTTAAACACGAGCATCATTACGGTCTTATAGGAGAGAAGGAACATTTACGGCCGATGTCCCTGCAATAGATTCTAAATCTCTATTAAATAGTTGACATTTATAGACTGTAAATGCAGAACTGCAGTTTCTTTAAGCGCTACTTTGTCATGTTGTTGTCATTTTTCCCATCAACACCATTGTACCTCTAAGAATCCATCCTGTGCTTTGTTGGTGTTGTATTTCTTTTTTTGTTTTTTTTTTTTACAAATTTGACAAATTTGGAATGAAATCAGAATAATAGGATTTGCTCCTTCCACCTGACTTACCAGGTTGAGACAAAGGAAGTAGAAGATCTGTCTGGAGTCGTACTCCTCCAGGATCTGCTTCAGGGAATCTTTGATGAACCGCGGGAGGGACTGTGACGTGTGCTGCAGGGCGTCGCCCATGAAGTTGTACAGCGGCGTCCCTTCAGGGGAGTAACCCACCAAGGTGCCCTTCTGACCTTTCTTCGATGGAGACGAGAGAATACTGGAGGCTGTAGAGAGAAAAACAAAAAATAGGCTATAGATATAGATATTAAGGTTAATCTCACAGCTTTGGTTGCATGTCAGGAGGCCAGAGCATGAAAACACTGTGCATTGTGTAACATAGCAGGTTTAATTCTGGTTAAACTGGGCTTTTAGGTTCCTTAAAGAGACAGGAGCTAAAACAGATGGTGAAAAATGGTGCTACAATAATGTTTCTATTGAAGACTAACGCATTTAAATAATCCTAGTCGACTCCAAAACTGAAGTGATGAACCTGAAAATGAGCATAACATGGACTGTTTCAGTAAAACGCATCCATTTGACTGGATGAAAGAAAAGTCTGGACAACACTGATGCTGCAGAGGCTGACTTTTGAGCTCCTCAAAGTGGATCATAGAGTTCCAATAACGCTAAATAAACGGTGATAGATCTTTCCAATAAATCCTCCCTGTTGGATAATGCTCAAACTCCGCACAGGCTTTCTGTTAAACATTTATAAACCGAGATAATACCGACGTCAAGGTTTATTTCTATCAAGCTGGAAAACCAGAGAAACATAAAACGGTTTCCACACTGGTGTACTGGTTGAGCGGCGCTTTGAGTTTGTTGACTTTGTCCTGCTTTGAGACAAGGAATGAGGCAGACCATTTCTTTTTATGTGCAATGGAAAATGGAAAAAAACTCTACTACCAGGCCCTCATTTCAATTTCAAACGTCTCAGGATTAAAGGTAAAAATGTAACAGGGAGACGAGAGAATACAGGACGCTGCAAAACGAGATGTCAAGGTGAATCTCACGCTGTCTAATAAAGTCGAATCAAGCAGTATTTGTTTGTTCTGATGTCATGAATGTATCCAAACCCTCCTGGTCTCGCTCTGCAGTTCATTTTTTTCTGTTGAATCTAAGAAAGTAAAGCGTTGTGCTGGCTGTGTTACTTACACATGATGAAGAAGATGGCGCTGACCAGCACCCCACCAGACAGCACGTGCTCAGTGCTGACCTGCTGGGGCGGTTTGCTCATGGAGCGGAGCTGGTCGGTCAGCGGGTGAGTCCAGAAGTTGGCCAGCAGCAGGGCGCTGAGGAAGAGGGCGATGGCGCCATAACGGGCGCACCGCGGCGTCTCCATCTTGGCGCAGCAGATGGCCTCGACGTAAAACTCCAGGATCATGACGGAGAAGATGATCATCCCGAAGGGCAGGACGAGGGACGACCACGACTCCACTTTGCTCTGAGGTGGAGAGCGAGTGGATGAATAGTGATCAGAGGTCAGATTAAAGGTCAAGGGGCAGAGATGAAAGTTAAAATAACAAAAAGTTTTACGTTTAGGTCTTTAAACCTAAGCAGTTTTGGGGTGTTTTTTGCTCCTGTCACATTTTAATTCGCTGTTCACTGCTATATAAAGTCCTGCACCTCTATGCAAACAGGACAACCATGACTAGAAGTAAAGAGAACCTGTCTTTTGTGCAATATGATACAGTTATATGCCTTAAATCATAACAAAAGAAATTAAATCAACATGTACAACATTTTTCCAAGTGCCCACAGTTGTAACAACTGTTTTTCCAATACTGGAAAAAAAACAGTGGCTCTATGTACTATAGATATTTCACTACTTGTATTTTCAGTTTGTTTCTGTGATTGTCTCCTCTCTGCTCTGTGTAAACACTGCCTGCAGTTCAGCTAAATTTCTGTCACTTGACTGTTGGTCACAGCTGAGCGCAGAATTATTTGTTTTTTACATAATCTGATTACTGCAACCAGCTCATTTTTGGCATTTTTTTTTAATGTGAGACATGAATAATAGGTGATTTGGGTGAAACATCTCATAATTCTAGGCTTAATGTGTTTTTCCAGATAAAACTGAAAGTGAGAGAAGTTGAACGACCGGTGGAAAGCTTAAAATCCAGTGATTCTTTTAGTTTTTACCGTTTCTGACTCTCATAAATGGGGATTTTTTTTTGTCAAATAAAAAAACATCCATTTCTCAACCTGCAGTCAGGTTTTTGGGATTCAGAGAGTTAATTTAGGTGGAGCTTAGTGTAATTTAGAATTTTTATTTGCTAATTTCACTCATTTAACACCACATTCAAACAACGTTGTGAAGAATGTTACTTGAAGAGGTCACAGATTTCTAATTCTGTCACATGGTCTGTCATCACTGACCTCCGTGGTCGCTGACAGCACTATGACCCAGGGCAGCAGCACCACCGCAGAAACCAGGTTGTCGAGGGCGTAGAGCCGCTTGGCACCACCAATTTCCACTGATAACTTTCTGGACGCTGTGTGGAAGCCGACTTTCAGACACAAGGAGGCCACCAGCAGCACCACACCACCCTGACAAGAACGGGAGGACAAAGGGTGTTTGTTTTTACTTCACTGAACTTTTGCAGACAGCAAGAAACAGAAAATTTTAAGGTGAACCGTGGACTTACTTTATGATCTGCAACCCCTAAAAACGCAATGGCAGTGTAGAGGAAATGAGTGAGCGCGCTGTCATGGTGTCCCTCAGCTGGTTACAGGATGAGTCAAGGCAAACGCACAACAGAGACACACGATAATTATAACAGATCAGGTCAACAAACAGTAAAAACAGACAAACTGTTGCGCTCAAAGGATACGGTGCTCGGCCATCTTCGCCATCAGATCGTCGTTGTCGAAGAGGAGGAGGCAGATCACGGCGATGATGAAGAAAGCAGCACCTCTGGTCTGAGACAAACCAACAGAAAAGCATTTTACAAACCACATCCACAGTATTATAGTACAGTCATTTCATTTCAGACACTGTCAACATAACCTCCTGGTAAAGCAGTGTAACCTCCACTGTCTGGTTAAAACTATTTCAAATGTTTCAGTTACACTCTTTACAATATCTGGAGTCTTTTTCTCCACTTAAATACACTGTTTTCGTCTATGAGGTAACCAAATTTAAAAACTTGCTCTCTGATAAGAATTCTGGTTGATCACAACTTCAATCTTACTTCCTGGGTTACTCATCATTTCTAGCAGTTCTGATGAATTTCAACTCACAAAACTTATCTCTGACAATCAGACAAGTTGCACAGTAGTCTGACTGCTTAAACTGGTTTATCTGGAGGTAAAACTGAAACTTAAAATACCAAAAATGCCACTACTGTGGGGTCTTAATTTTAAAGTTTGCATCTGTTTTCTTTTTCAAACAGGTTCAGTTAATATCCAAAAGCTCTGTGGGTTATTATAAATGTCATAATAATACATAATAACAGACCCTGACTGTGGGTTTTTTACTTTACCACAGAGGAAATGAAACAGAAACTGTTTTAGTGAAGTGAACTGGACTTCAAACATCAGCAAATAAAACAAAAAATCAGTTTAAATATTGTTTTTGAGGTAAAGTGTGCCGACAGCAAAACCAAAGTTACTTAAAACTACAAAACATTCATAATCTATTCAGTGTAAAATACTTGTATGAATTCAAACCAGGCGTGTGAATGTGTAGCCTCTTACCTTGGATGGTCCGCCTCCTGAGTTTGTGAACAGGACGCCGAGGAGAGCGATGACCACCACATCGCTGTGCTCAAAAAGCAATAACGTCCTGAGAAAGACACAACTCAGATTTACATTCAGAATGCAAACACTCACAGCTAAAAGCACACAAATATTCTCACATAAAGTGCTGTTGCATTCAGCTGATAGGAGAACAGCAGGATATTTTACCTTAGAGGTCCACAGAGAGTCAGACCAAAGAAGCCCAGGAGGGATATGACACAGCTGAAAACAGCGTGCTTTAGTAACTTTATCCACTACGAGGAAAAAGAGATTAAAAAGGAATCAGATTATCCATCATGCAGGTTGACATTGTGGCCTTAAAGGAACATTTGAACAGTGTATGAATGTGTATTTTACTTTCACAAAATTAAATGTTAAATATTTTAAGTTCTGGAGACAACAGAAGAACAGTCAGAGGTTGGCAGAAGATTGAACAAACATACACGTGGCACTGCTGTTGAATGAAGGTGAGCTGGCACATAAAGTTAAGAACCAGAGAAGTAAAAAAAAAAAAAAAAAGAAAAGAAAAACACACTGACGCAATCCAACAGACCTGTCTTTTTGAGATGACTTTTCCAGATGAAAAAGGCTTTTGAAAGAAAAGGAGAATAACAGCACTCCTACAAAAGGAGACAAGGACTGATATGTAGTCACATCCGTTCATTCAAACGTAATAGATTAAATTAAACTACTGCACGTAATGAAAGTCGTAGCACTTACCCTAATTTCAATACGAAGATAAACTGAACTACGTGAACAACTTTGAGGATGTCGTACGACTCAAAGATCCCGAGAGCTTTGAGGACCTTTGAGATGATCAGTAAAACGATGTACCTGGTTAATCTGCAGAAGGAAAAGACAAAGAAAACAATCCATCAGCATTTGTGTGGGTGACACAGGAAAAACAAACATCACTTATCATAACGACGTATAGGCAAATTTAAGGTTTTCCATACAGTTTGCATCCAGAAGCAGTTTTTGTGGGAAGCGTTAAAATTATGAGCCAGTTAACCAACTTATCAGCTGATATTGATTACCACAACTGATTAAAAAAACTAATCATTATCAAGCAAAAATGGCCAGTCACTCATTCTAGCTGCTCAAATGTGAAGATTAGTAGCGTCTACTGGACACAAGCAATGGAATAAAGTGCTTGGGTACTGGGTAACTGTGATTTTAACTGTTGTGGACATTTAGACACTAAAACAACTGAGCAACAAACTAACAAAACACTCAGTAGTGACACTGAAGAAGCCCAAACAACGTTTTAGCTGCTGCTGTGGATCTAAATCAGTAAACTGCCACACATGGACCTACAGCTACAGCAATAAGACTTGACTGACTAAATCACATGAGATTAACTTAAGCACAAGAACAGAAAGCTACCTGGAATCAGGTACTTCCACCATGCCCAGCTTCCCCCCTGACAGGACGTTGCTGCTGTATTTATCCTCCATTTTCAAGCCCCAAAAACTTCAGTTACAGTATTTATGCTCCCAAAATCCTTTACATCACTGTTGCCAGAACAGTGACAACAAACCGCTGGAGGATATAAACAAGCTGATTCTGTCTCTTATTCATCCTCCTGTGGTGGTTTTCAAACTAATCTGGACACAATCAGAAAGCTGCAGTCAGCTGCCAGCCTTCTTAGCCTGTTAGCCGGCTAGCTAAACAGCATGCCAGATGGGATTTAATCCAAAGTTTCCGGCTTCGTTGGTCCTCTGTGTCCGGCGTGCCTCACGGAAAAACATGTGGGCGCCTCGTTAGAGCAAGAAAATACCCAACATTTTAATCACAGTTGATGAAAATGAAAGAAAAAGTCCGGAATGAGGAGATAAAGCATCCGAGCTGACCAAGAAGCCACGGCACTTCCGGACACGGTAAACAGTCCACGTCACTGGAGTGTGTTCGCGAGCGCTGCTCCTGCGCAGTTCGTCTTTCTGCGCAGGCGAAGAAGAAAATGGCGCCGATGAGAATAACTAAAAGAGATTTTAATTGTAGTTTATGGCAAATAAACATTTTTCTGGTCATTTCTCATTTTAAAAATCTTGTATTTTAATTTACAATTTTACTTTTGTGGCGCTTTTTAATGACACTTACTTTGAGTTTAGGGCACTAAAAAGGTCAAGAATCTTTGTGTGCATCACTGATAAGGGTCTAAATTTCAGTACACATGAAACATGTGGCTAAATCCTTCATCTGGCATCTTATAAACAAACTGAGAAACTTTATGTCCAAGCAAACTTTTATTGGTAGTAGAAAAGACTCAGGTTGTTATGAAGGAGGGCAGTGAAGAATATAAAAATGTCTGACAATAAAAAAGAAACACTGGTGCTGCAAATGACGCAAAAGACGAATTTCAATTCAGTTTTATTTATATGGCGCCAATTCACAACATATGTCAACTCATAGTGCTTCACATAGTACGGTGAATACCTTACGAATTTTAAACAAAGAACTGGATTTCCTGAGTAAGCAGCTGGCAATGGTGGAAAGGAACCAAAAGAAAATAATAATAACTATAACAGGGAGGAAGAAAAAAAAACTTCAGACAGAACCAGGCTCAGGGAAGGCAGTCATCAGCCTCAACTGGTTGAGATAAGCGCAGGAAAAAAGTTAATCGTGTAAATTGATGTTTATTTCCCCAAATCAGTGACCCTCAATGCAGCTGTTTATTTCTGATGTTGCAGCTGCACATCAGAGCTGTTAAACCCTAAACTTCATTTCAATATATGAAAGAAATGCATTCAAGTCTAACCGCGTCCTATAATGATAGCTACCAGATGTTTCATTTATGAAGTAAATTTTGTGATTTATGCTTTTGAAAATAACATTAAAGCTGAAAAAGTTTACGAACCATGTGAATTCACTGCTTAATGTACAACTAGAGGTTGTCTGCCGATCAGGTTACTGTAAAAAAGAAAAACATTAAATGTGTGGAAACCTTATTCTCATCTCTTGTATGCTGAAACAGATGAGCTTTTTGATCACTTAAGATAATTAAAAACTGGACTGCACTAAGATGTCACAGCGAAGTTTGACATCAGGATGAGCATTTTGGTGGTACACTGGATTTAAAGTGTGCAAACAAGCATATACATCTTCAGCCTCTTTTGCAGTTGTTTACTAAAATCTGTCAAACATGGGATCATAACTTCACCCCAAAAGGTAAAAACAAAATGTTTGAGGACATGAAAAAAGCAGAGACGAATGGGTTTTGCCATGAAGAAGGTATGAGATGCTTCGTTGCTGGTATAGTGGTTTTATTTCAACATCCGCTCAGTAGAAGAGATTAGTCAAGAATTCCTCATGATTGTTAAAGATGTGAGATTTGAGTCCGGGAAAAACGATCTGGCCTCAACTCCCAGAGTGGTGACGACAAAACTTCAGTGAGGTCCGCACAATCCAAGCAGGATTTTCTCATAATGTCCCTTGGTGTCCATCTGCAGAACACAGACAAAAGATACGCTGAGTGTAGTGGAAAACACACCGTCAGTCATGAGCCAATTAGGAACATTTGAATATTTCTGCATTTACCAGTATGGCCTCCTGTAGGGTGGTGTCATACATGGCCCGGTACTCCTCAACGATCTTCTTCAGGTCGACCTCAGAGCGACTCACCAGTACTCTGATCAGCGTATCCTCACATGTGCCATGACCCTGTAGAAACAGGTGGAAAGCACCTCATTACTAGTCTTCTCATTCAATTCTAAAATTATACCAGGAAAGGTTTTGTACCATTGCTACATACTGTATGTGTATGGCTGACTATAATCCAGCCATGTTTCAAGTTGTGCAAATATTTATGGTGGTAGAAGGTCCAGGAGTCAGCTGCAAAACAGTCTTCTTTTTTTTTAAAGCCAACTTCTTGTTAGTGTAATCAATTTTCAGATATCTTTAGCATACCGAGCCTATAGAATCTAGTCACAATTTTGTACATTTCCCCCTTCTTTTTGCTTTTCAGCACTGCATCGTGGTCAATATAATTGGGGTTTTTGACGATTTACAAAACAAGAACAAGAGTTTTTCATGTCCAAGTGAAACTAAATATATAAATTCATAAGTAACAGCTCTCCTTAAGCCCCACCACAAATTCTTGGAAGGCCTGGGCTCTGAATCGGCCTCTCCCGAACATCCACCTCGTTGTCTTTAAGCAATTTCTGTGTAGCTTTGGTTGTATACTTTGAGTCTTTGTCTTGCCGGGAAAAATAAATAAATAAATCTTCTCCCAAGTTCTCCTGCAAACAGCATCAGGTAATCCTCCAGGATTCCTTTTACTTTGCTGCATTTATGTTGCCCTCTACCTTCATTAGATTTCCAGGGCTGCTGCTGAGACATAACCTGTCGTTATGATGCTGCCACCACCATGCTTTGCTTAGGGCAGGGGTGGGCAATCCTGGTCCTCGAGGGCCACAGTCCTGGATGTTTTAGATGTTTCCCTCTTCCAACACACCTGATTCAAATGATCAGCTCATCATCAAGCTCTGCAGAAGCCTGATAACGATCCTGATCATTTGAATCAGGTGTGTTGGACGAGAGAAACATCTAAAATATGCAGGATTGTGGCCCTTGAGGACTAGTATTGCCCACCCCTGGCTGACGGGGTGGATTGTTTGTGATGATCTACAGTGTTTGGTGTCTGCTAAACAAAGGGTTTAGTCTGATGGCCAAAAAGATCTGTTAAGTCACTTCCTAAAAGATAGTTTTATCTTCCAAAACCAGGATGAGTTTATTTTTCACAGCTTTCGATTGGCCACCGTGGCTTTAGGGTTATGCTTATACCGCCTCCTCTTGGTTTGGCATGCTCTTGCAAACACAAAAATGTGTTTTCATGCTGATTTTTTAAGATAAAGGAGCAAAAACTTAAATCATTTATGGGTGAACTGGCACTTCAGACTCCCACAGGAGACTCTTGTAAATCAGTTTAGATTGAAGCAGCAGAAACCAAGTGAGTCACCGTTTGGATCACTCTCCAGAAATACTGGATGTTTTATGTCCCATAATGCACCTCACATATTTAATATAACGCACCACATACTGTCTAAATGCCCACATCCACACCTCCAGTTTGTTCCACAGACATTTGTTTAACAATGTCAGGCTCAATCCAAGACAACCAAGATTTATTTATTTAGCCTTTGAAGCACATTTTACTGTTTCCAAAGAGGGAGTTGCTCCGAGTCAATCTGCTTGTAGAGTTTAATCAGAAAGACATTGACAAGCCTGTGTCGGTAGGAAAAAATGCAAACTTGAATCACCCCTTCAACACATGAAGCACTGTACGTTTATGTAAATAGAAACCTCCTGACTGAGCGTGGAAAAGCCAGAACCCCTGCCTCAACCAACACAGATAGAATAGTAGTCGAACATATGGTGAGGAAGAGCAGCAGAGATGTGGTCATGCTCACCTTCATGGCCAGATGGAGCTTCTCAGCGAAGAAGGCCGGTATGTTCCAGGCACATTTCACTAGACATCAAAGAGGGATATAAACATACAGTCACAAACTGAAAATATCATGCAGCGTCCAGATGCTGCTCACAGATAGCCTTCTTCCTTGTAGCTACAGTGGTCTGTGCAAAGATTAAAAAAGCTCCACAAGCTTAAGGAGATGCCAAAGAATGTGCAGATACTTTTCATTCAGATGGAAATTATTTTCTGAATCTTTGCATTCATGTTTTTTTTTTTTTGTTCTTTATGGAAACTCTTTCCAGTGTTTTCTCTCTGGATGCCACATGTTGCAGCTGGGACTTAACGGTAAAATCATATTCCTTCAAGTTTTACTAAAGCATCATGGTGCTCACAGTCGGTCCAAATTTACAACATATTCAGGTTCATGTTGACCTTTTATTTTAAGTCGGAATGATGCCAAATTTCTAACTTGCACACAAGAAATCAAATTCTACAGGGCTGCATAAAATTTGTTGTAACAGTGCTGCTCTCCAAAGAATGAATCTTTTCATCCTCACCACCTCTGCTCTTGCTTCATCCTCAGACGTTTACTAAATCCCCAGTATGTACCTCAGTTTATCCGACACTGTCTGTATTGTTGGTTCACCACCTTCAGATGTTTCCCCCCTTTTATTGCTTTGAAACATTGAATCATGGTCAATAGATTTTCCTTTTTTCACAAGAATTTCCTCCAGACTCTTTTATGCCAAAGTGACACGAAACAGATTTCTACAAAGTAATGTTAATGAATGAAAAATTAAAAATGTAAAGTAAGTGCCTGCATAAGTAATCACTCCCCTCAAGTCAGTATTTAGTAGATGCACCTTTGGCTGCAACTACAGGATCAAGGTCTGAGTTTGGACTTAACTCCTCATTCACCTTTAAGCTTTCTATGCATCTCTAGCTGTATGCTTCGAGTCATTGTGCTGCCAGAAACCATATCTGAGTCTCAGTTCTCTGCCATTTATTTTACTCCCAACCTTTACAAGCCATCCAGGGCCTGCTACCTTCACATCATGATGCTGCCACCACCATGCTTCATGATGGGAATGGTGCACAGTTTTTCTGCTAACACAGGGTTTAGTCTGTTGGCCAAAAAGCTAGATTTTAGTCTCAGATGAAGGAACCTTGTTCCAGTAGAGTTCAGAGTCTCCTGCATACTTCTGGTGAACTCTAGTAGAGATTGAATAGGAGCGTTTTGGAACAGTGGCCATCTCTCTGACTTCCAGCTGACCACCAGTTGGTTGCTCCAATGTTGAATTAGATGAGCCATTTTCAAAGGAGTGAATATTTATGCAGTCACTTGTGTTTTTAGTTCATATAAATTTGTTTTCACTTTGACATTAAAGAGTGTTTTTGTACATTCTTGTCAAAAATAAATAAATTAAGTTGACTTTAATTAAAGGAAAACTTTAACACTGACACTCAGCTAATCTGCTCCATTGACAGCGTACGGTTTGACTGACCACATGTGGAAATGACGCACAACTGCTGTCACATATTGTATATTATGTATTGATCATTTCTGATTGATGCACCAAAATAAACATTTCTAGTTTCCAACTGAGCACCACAAGACAATCAGAAATATTGACATCTGGAGACTGATAAACCTGCAAAACTCAAATGACAAAGCCTGTTCCATTCCACCAGCGACACAGAATATTATTTATAGAAAGATATGACAGAACATCAACCTACCGACATCGATGAGACAGTCCTCAATGTCTCCGCTCAGCTCCATGTCCAGGGCTTTAGGTAATGTGATGTCGCTGATGGCGGCGTAATGCTGGAACGCTGGTGAACAGAGACAGACGTTCACAGGTGAATAGGTTCTCCTCTGAAAGTCACTGTAGTCCAGTTCTGAGAGTTCTGCATGTTCACTCAACACATTTGTGGAATTAAGACAGTTTGCAAAGATCTTGAGACAAAAACATCCAGATTTCATGAGTCACAGAGTAAACATTTATCTTAGATCCAAAACAAGAATAATGATACAGCAGCTCTGCTCTCTTAGAATCAGAGCCTCAAGGAACTCTGGAGATATTTCAGGAACCGTGTTGGTTTAGGGGGTTCCTTTAACAGCTCCGTTCACAGAGGAGGCTGCTGAGGAACCTCGTAGAACTCCAAAGGGGTTCCTGGAGGGTATTTTTGTGGATTTATGTACAACATATCGGCTCATTTTAAGATAAAGGGAACGACACTGGTAAACGTATTATAATGCGTACTTGTAAATTTTTTTAAAATCTCCCAATTAAACATATTAAGGATTTAGTTTAGGTTATAGGTTTTTTTTCCCACATTAAATAATGGAAATTTTCTGAATAATGGTGAAGATGTTACCCACGAAATGTACGTTTTAGAGACTGGGTTTGCATTTTGGGGCAAATTGTGATCTTTCATAATAATAATAATAATAATAAAAAAGCGCTTTTCAGGATACTCAAAGATGCTTTGCCAAGTAGGGAACAGCAAAACATACAAACAGAAACAAAACATAATGGGAAAGGATCATAAAGAAAGAGGAGAATTGTGAGTTGTAAGCAGTGTTGAAAAGATGTACGTCTTTCTGACTTTAAACACGGGCTGCAAGGGGGATCGGTGGTTAGCACCGTCACCTCACAGCAAGAAGGTCAGCGGTTCGCATCCCGGTGAGGACACTCGATATCTTTCTGCGTGGAGTCTCCATGTTCTCTCCTTGCAGTGTGGGTTCTCTCCAGGTTCTCCGGCTTCCTCCCACACAGTCCAAAACCATGTTGAGGTTAATTGGTGATTGTAAATTGTCCGTAGGTGTGAATGTGAGTGTGCTTGGTTGTCTGTCTCTAAGTGTAGCCCTGTGATAGACTGGTGACCTGTCCAGGTGAACCTGCCTTCACCCTGAGTCAGCTGGGATAGACTCCAGCCCCCCATGACCCTAGTGAAGATTAGGCGGTGTATAGATGAAATGAAAAATACTTTATTTATCCCAGAAGGGAAATTCAATAGATAATGGATGGATGGACTTTAAACTGTAATCCCAAAAATAAATAAATGGTTTTATTTAGGAACACAAGAGTGTTGTTTAAATACATTTCTTATATTTGGGGGATAAAGACATTCCCTAATGATAGCAATAATCTCAAAATGGAACCCTAATTCCCGCAAACAGTTTTTTTAATAACCCCTCTTATGGAATCCCAAAAGGTTCCTTGAGGCTGTTCTGTGTTTGCAAATGGGTGGACATGCAGCATAAAGTGGCCTGTTTTAGAGGTTTTCATGCAGAGTTTGTGCTCCAGGTGCAGCCTTTTCCTTGTCTCTGTCCACCATCACAAAAATATTAATGTAAGTCAGTGTTTCCATTTACACGATACTTTTGTTTCTCCCACACTTGTCGCCCAGTAAACAAAACAGAACGCCTTGCCTCATGTGAAGTCCACAGAAAGCATAATTAATCAAAAATCCGGTTGGTCCGTGTTGTTCCCACAGTGCTGGGTGTGTTCCACCCGTTACCTGGATCAGTGCGGTTCCACCTGTTTGTCCAGGTGTGTGTTCGCTCTGATGAGCCAAACCTAAAAACGCACAAGGTTTCGTTTGGAGCACTCACTTTTACAGAGCTGAGGGCCGCTCCGCGTGGTCAGGATGTCAATGAATTTGGGGACGTCGATTCCTTTGGTGTTCTCGCCTGATTCAAACAGAATCTGCAGAGACATGTTCTCTTAAAGACTTACACAACAATAAATGATAACCCTTATATCCTCTTGTTGTCTGTGAGCTGTTGTTTACTTATGAGTGCATACAGTGGTTTATTCTGAAACTGTCCCCAATAAATGCAAAAGTTCTTCCTGTTTCAGTGACATTTCAGCAAAAATCTGACATTTATTTGTAAGAATAATAATATAAAATTGGGATTTATGTGCACATGGTTTTTATGGGTCAGTAAGAAGAATGTAAACAACTACCAGCTTAGAAGATCAATTCACTTTTCCTTATTGTACCTCTGCATCCTTTCGGGCCTGATCAGAGTCCACTTCATGGCTCTCGTCTTTGTTTCCACTCATCAAGGACAGAAGAGCCGTGGCGAAGTCGCCTCCGGTCTCGTCCTTAACAACCTCCTCCAGATCTTCTTCGTACTCTAAAAGAACGAGAACGTTTCAGAGGAAAGTTAGCAGACTTTGCAGCAGTAAAGTTGTAGTCGCTGCTGTTGAACGTGCAGCCCTGTAGAGGAATTCAGTGCTGCTCTATTGTGTGTCAGCGACATACCTAAGATGTTACACAAAAAGAACTCAGCATTGCAGACGAACAAATAACAGAGTGTGTGTGTTTAAAAACCTTCTTTGAAGACCCTCTTGATCTCTTTAATCTCGTCGTTTGTTCTGGTTGCAAAAACCTCCACCAGGACGTCCTCGTCGGTGCCCAGACGCTGTTGAATCAGAGCAAATGATTAAATCTAAATAAAGTAAATAGCAACAGAGCAGATATCTGTTGGAAAGAAAATTGTGAATATTTTCTGTTAAATTTTAATGTAGTCTTCTGAGCAAGATAGTCAACAAATGCCTCAAGTTCACTGAACATTTGCACAAGTATTTTGAATTCTCTTCTCATTTTATCGATACTGTTCTCTCTGCTATTGCACAACAAGTAATTGTAGTGGTTTCTTCATTTATAGTGCTCATTTGCTCTGATTATTATCTATATCATCTGGACTTTCAGTGATTGTTTTTAGATCCACGTGTTGAGAGAAGCAGGTTTGTCACCATAAGCTCAACTCACATTAACAGCACCGTTTTGGGAATTATTAGTAATAAAATAATGTAAAATAGCACCAATACTAGATTAATTGTCCTCATTATGCATTAAAAAAGTTCCCCCGTCAGTGTTTTACTGTTATATTTGACGTTTTTGGAGTAGATTTACTGCTGTGATCATGTTTATGCTGCATTTTACTGCTGAGGTTGTTTAAAATTGGGATGATTTTAACCATTTTATTTACTTTTGTGTGGTTTAATCTACAGGAATACAACATAATGATCAAGAGCATCATGTTTGTACTATTCCTGTCCGGTAAAAAACAAAATATATAAAATGAAAAGCAAAACAGTCATGTTTCCAGCTCTGTGACAGTGCATTTAACAGCTAATCCAAGAGGTTTTTTTTGTTTTATTAGTTTAAATATCACCAGGAAAATAACATCTAAATTCATGAAGACTCACAATATTCTTTAAGCTTTGAGAATTTTGACAAAAAATCCCCACATTTGTAAATACACGAGTTTCACTGAACAGGAAGGAAATGAAAAAGTGTGATCTGAAAAGTGAAGCTGCTGAGATGAAGAAGAGTGAGAAGAATAAAGCAAAATGGAAAAACTCACGTACAAGTACCTGCAATTCGTATTTAAATACAGTATTCAAGCAAATGTGTTGAGCGAGTTAATGTCCTGCACACCAGAACAGCAGATGATTCATAGTTCTTCTCCAAAAAAACCCACATTTGAACTCAAACTAACTTGTGAGTCTAATGTAGGAATGAAGCAGCAGCAAAACAGTTCATGAATAAATCTCAGACAGCTCAAATCAACAAGTGCCTTTACGCTAACTGAGACTAATTACTGTTTATGTAAAAGGGCATTTAATCAGGTATTCACCTTGGTGGCTTTCCTCAGCAGGTAGGCGTCAAAGTGAGCCGGCGGCTTGAGCAGAGCCAGAGAGACGTCCTCCAGATCTGACCTGAGAGCTGATTTCAGATCCGCCTCCAGACTCTGGAACACACACACAGCAGCAGACATGAAGGATGCTGGAGGTCACATCAAACCGCCATCAGACGGAGACTAAAGCCGTTATCCTGCAGTTTAAAGGTTTTCTATTTGTAACTGGAGTTAAATATTTAAATACCACTCACACAGTTAGTAATTATAGGATGACGGCACACTGAAGACTTTTAGCACGTCAAGTGATGGAACGAGAACCTCTGGCGTCTTTCCAGCAAGATTTTTATTTATTTTTTTGTTCCAACAACATTTTGAGAAAGTTCTGAAAAGTCCTTTAAGCTGAAAAGTTTGCTTTTAGTTCCCAGAACGTTCTTATTTAAAATAAAATAAAAAAAGGCAGGACAACTAGAGATGTTGGTGACATTATTGGATTGTTCTGCGCTAACTTCCAAATGTTGATTTGTTATCATGCAACGTTGTGGGAAGGTTTTATAGAGGAACTGCAGGCTAAATGTTCCCCTTTGGGGTTATTCACATTACTGGAACATTTTAGGAAGAAAGTTCTGTCAGGAAAGTACTTAAGATGTTGGTCTGAGAAAGTTCTTACTTCGTTATAATGGAACATAATCTGACAGCATCCTCCAAACATCCTTTAAACGTTCTGTCTTGGTTCACTTTTAACCTAACAAGGGTATTTTTGGACAACGTTCTGAAGTAGTTCTGGAACCGTTTTCAGCAGGAAGCTTGCTTTAAGTTCCCAGGATGTTCTTCTTATAAAAGGTGAGACAGCTGAAGGAGAAAATGTTTGGTGAGAACGTTGTTAACCCGTTATGTTGCACTGAGAGAATTGAAATGTACCGAATCAAGGAAGGACTTATGGTGACGGTGGATAAAACCAAATTAAAAAGCAAAAGTTGACGCCTACATGATGATTTCTAAAATATCAGTTTCTCATTCAACACAAATACAAACAGTGTCTGAATATCTTCAACACTGACCATCAGTTTTCAGTGGATTGAAACGGTGTTTGCAGGTCCACAAAAGGCCTAGAAAGGTTTCTATGTCTTCAGAACACTCATGGATGAGTCTACTGGGCCTTCAGCCAAGTGGGCTAATATGAGAAAGTCAACTTTAATACTGCCAAACCTGTATAACATTTAAACCAGTTTACGTTGTGAAATCAGTCGGATTAGTGACTTTTAGGTTCATCCTGCTGCTGACTTATTGTCGTTTGAGTCAGTCTCCATGAGGAACGTGACTCACCTTCCCAGTGGACGCTTCATAAACCGCTTTGATCTTCTGCCTCTGCTCGTTGTTTCTTTTCACCAGGACGGCGATGATCACGTCCTCGTCCACGTCTGTGGGGACAAACTGGACTTATTTCTTCAAAGCACCACAAAAAAAAGTGGAGTTTTGTGTCTTAAGATTGTAAAAGAAGTTGCATTAGCATCCACATGAGCATCAGCCATGTGCCCATCGTTCTTCTCTGCAGGCTCAGACGTTCACCTTTACTTTCGATGGCGCTCTGAAGGACCGAAGCGTCGCTGCTGGCGTTGAAGTTTGGGTACGGAGTGATTGTTCCATAATATTTAGGCTTCTCTTTACCCTTCACCTGCAACAACAAGCAAGAATAAAGATGTTTTACTAACGCTGGCTGCTGCAAACTATCTAGATCCCAAAGTTTGAGCTTTACAGTAGGTCACTGTTTGTGTGTTTTTTCTGGCAAACTTGCAGTCAAATTTCCTTTTTTCTGCATTATTTTACAGTGCTGTAGTTGTTTTACAAATTGGGATTTTACAAACTATTAATACTCGTGTTTAATGTAAAGAAAACCAAAATAACAAAACAAAGAAAGATCACAACGTGTGACTGGAAAATGACACTGATTTATTGTGTTAAATCAGCAATAAAAAAATAATTTTTTACAGATATTTACCCTTCTTTTCAGTATTTTGCTTTTTTCCTTTCTAACATGTTTATTGCAAGATTTTCATAATTTCTTTCATTTTTTTTTAAAATGACAGAGTAGTTGCTAATATTTAAAGTTTTTTTTTTTTTTTTTTTAAAGAACACAATACACCTTTTTATGTTAATTTTCCATCATTTATTTTAGTACATTTTTGGGTTTCTTTGTTTTTTCCTGACATTCTAGCTTCCACATTTATTTGGTTGATACTCACTCTGACGGTGTCGTCCGCCGGGTCTCCTTTACGGATGATATCTTTGAAGAACTTCTTGAACGCGGACATCTTTACTGAGCAGGAAGTTAAAACCACAAACAGAAGCTCTCACTGCAGACAGAGAAGAGGAGGAGGGTCGTCACATCTGCCTCCGATTCTGAGCCTCCTCAACCTGTCGAGTCTCTTTAGGTGAGCGATTGTGTAAATGGAAGCAGGTGTGAGTCAGAGCGGCTGCACTTCAGCCTCCACCCATCACGTCCACATCCAGATCCACATCCAGCCTGTCTGACCTTCTGACCTGAACTTTCCTGCTTCGGCCTGTTAGCCGCCATCTAAATCCAAACCATTTATCCTCTGTCCACCTCGTCTTGTTTCTCCTCAAAACGTCCTGCAACGTTCTAGTAATGCTTACTTTTAATTCCCAGAATGTCCTTCCTAAAGGACAGATTGCGTTCTCTAAAAATGTTCGGTGACAACATTACTGGACCGCGATGCACAAACGTTCTTCAAATGTTGATTTGTTATCAAGCAACATTAATGGAACATTTTAAAAATGAAGTTCTGTCATCGGAAGCCTCTGGAAAGCATTTTACATCGAGAACGTTCTTGCTTTGTTATTATGGAACATAATTAGACACTGTCCTCCAAACATTCCATCTTAGTTCACAAGAACATGTTTTCTAACATTCTTAAAACATTCTGAGACAGTTCTGCAGAGTTCTAGTAATGTTTTCAGTTTTATTGTAGTTCCTATAATGTTCTTCTGAAAGGTGGGATCTCTGAAGACATTTAAAAATGTTTTGTCTTGGGACGTTACATCCTAACCTTCTCAAAACAGTATGTTGCGCTGAGAACCTTCTACGTTATGTGATAACGTTATTGGAACGTTTAATCAGATGAACGTGGTGTGATATAGCTCCCCAAAACATCCTCAGAACATTGCAGGCTAGATGTTCCAGCTTTGCTAATACGGAACATTACAAGAACGTCTTATTGAAATAAAAATCACCTGGAAAACATTGTTAGAACGTTGCTTTGAGAACCTTTTTCTCTCAATATTAAAGAACATGATCTGACAGCGTCCTCCAAACATCTTCTGAATGTTAAAATAGTTTATGATTAACCTCATGGGAACATTATTTGAAATATCCTGAAAACATTCTTTCAACATTAGAGTCAAACTTTACACCATAACTTCCAGATAATGTTAGCAGATGTTGTCGGAACGTTCCCTGTCTAACCTTTTCTGGTTTTGCTGCTACAAAAGCCTCCTAAATAAAAGGCTTTGACTTTCCTCTGTTAGGTTCAGGAATCCAGAAGCCTCACCTGTGCGATGACGTCCGTCCTCTCACCTGAGTCTGTCTGCGAGCCGTCAGGTGGAGTATTTAACCCTGCAGAGTCTCCGCCCACCTCTCCGTCTGCTGGATCCTCAGCTGGTTTTATTTCCACCTGCAGACGATCAGCCAATAATCAGCCTCAGAGTCGACATTCCTGCAGGCTGACGGACGCTCCGACCGGTTCCGTCTGCTCAGACTTGTGCTGTAAATCTTGTGTTTCACCCTTTAATCAAACAACCTGTTGTTCACCTGGACGTGCAACAAAACAGCTAAATAACTAAATGTATTTCATGTTTAAAGGAGAAGTAAACACACATAAACATCGACCTGAGACAATGTTTTTTAGACAATTACACGGCTGAACTTGATGCTCTGCATTTTTCTGCAGCCTGTGGTTAAAGACGAAACGCCAGCAGAACGTTTAAAGCTGTCAGTGTCACCTGAGTCAGTGAGGACTACAGGTTAGGAAATAAAGACTCTTGTGACTTTTAACACAATACAGTCAGTTTAGGTAAAGCAGGCAGCAGGTTCTGGCACTAAAGAGGAGGAAAATACAGAATATGTCTAGTAGTGCTGCATTTATGCTGATAAATGTTAAACTGGTAGAAATCTGGTGAGTTTCAGGAAGTTATTTTGTTCTCAGTTAATCAGTTTGTCTTTTTCCTTTCTTAAAAAAAATACTGTACATGAAAGTTCAAATAAGTCAGGGTTGTAATGTAACGAAGCACTGAGCTGAAGAACTAATTTAGGGAATTTTTCTTAACATCAAATGGAAATCTAAGACTTTATACTTTTTAAAAATTGTTTTTCTTGCAGCTTTTGTATCACTAAAAGAAAATGAAGCATGTTGTTT